TCTATAGAGTTGGCGAAGATTCTCCAGAAGAGGAGGGTCAATATAGCGTGTGTCCAGGAGACAGGGTGGATAGGGTCGAGGGCGAAGGATGCAGACGGGTATAAACTTTGGTACTCAGGGGTCGAGATAGGTAAGAATGGAGTGGGTATCTTGGTGGATAGGGAACTTAGAGAGTCTGTGGTCGAAGTTAGAAGAGTGAATGATAGATTGATGATTATTAAGTTGGTGGTTAGTGAGTACACCCTAAACGTCATTAGCGCCTATGCGCCACATGTGGGCCTAGATGAGGAGGTTAAACGACACTTCTGGGAGGGGATAGATGAGATTGTGCGCCAGGTTCCGCCTGCCGAGAAGCTATTCATAGGAGGGGACTTCAATGGTCATATTGGGGCGACCGCAGGTGGTTATGGCGAGGTGCATGGAGGTTTTGGTTTTGGGGAGAGGAGGAACGGTGGAAGTACTATGTTGTTGGACTTCGCTAAGGCTTTCGGGTTGGTGATTGTAAACTCTATATTTCCGAAGAGGAATGAGCATTTGGTTACTTTTCAGAATGCGGTAGCGAAGACTCAGATTGACTATCTCCTCCTCATGAGGTGTGACAGCGGGCTGTGCAAGGACTGCAAGGTAATTCCACATGAGACACTCGCGACGCAGCATAGACTATTGATGATAGACGTTGGTATTAGGTTAAAGAGGAGGAAACGGACTGCTCAGGGAACACCGAGAATCAGGTGGGGATCCTTGACTAAGGATAAAGCCCAAGAGTTGGAGTTGTAGTTGTTGACTATGGGTGCTTGGAGAAGCAATGGGGACGCAAACACTATGTGGTCAGCAACATCAGACTATATAAGGGCGTCTGCAAGAGAGGTATTAGGGTCTCGACCGGTGTCTCTGGTGGGCATAAAGGAGACTGGTGGTGGAATGAAGTGGTCCAAGGTAAGTGGAAGCGAAGAAAGCAGCATATATGAAGCTAGTGGGGAGCATAGGTGAGTAAGAGAGGCAAGCGTGCATGGAGAGATATAAGGTAGCTAAGAAGGAAGCTAAACTGTCAGTCACAGAGGCTAAGACTGCGGCTTATGGTCGTCTATACGAGGAACTAGGGGAAAAGGGCAGGGAAAAGAAGTTATTTCGGCTGGCCAAGTTGAAAGAGAGGAAGGCTCGGGATTTGGACCAAGTGAGATTCATCAAGGACGAAGATGGTAGGATACTGATGGAAGATGCCCAGATTAAGAGGAGATGACAGACTTACTTCCATAAACTTCTGAATGAAAAAGGGGATCGGGATATTGTGCAAGGCGAATTGGAGCATTCCGAGAGTCACCGTGACTCCGGACACTGCAGGCGTATCGAGGCTGAGGAGGTTGTGGGGGCTATGCGTAAGATGAGTAGGGGCAGAGCAACCGGGCCAGACGAGATTCCGGCGGAATTTTGGAAGTGTAGGGAGAGCAGGTTTGGAGTGGTTGACTAGGTTGTTTAATGTTATTTTTAAGGCGAAGAGGATGCCGGATGAGTGAAGGTGGAGTACGGTGGTTCCATTGTATAAGAACAAAGGTGATATCCAAAGTTGTAACAATTATAGGGGTATTAAATTACTGAGTCATACCATGAAAGTATGGGAGAGAGTCATTGAA